TCTGCAGACTGATTATCCTGTTACTCAGACTGCTTGTTGGAAGGTGGTCCTGCCTCACCTTCTCCATCATTCAAAAGAACAATCCAGACTCAGTCTCATTTCCAGAACTTCATTTTGGGTCATGTATCCACGTCTGGTTCAGTCAGCTGTGACCCTGAAGCTGGGGGGAGGGGGACTGCACGTATACAAACATGGCAACCTGTAGATTTAGAGATTTACATTTGGAGAACACTTCCCCAAGGAAAGGGAAGTTGCTGACACATATGTTAGGTAGCCTCCCTAAAATATGTTCATTTTAGTAACACAGCTGTGCTATCGTCTTTGTAGTATAAAAATTTTTAAACTTACTGAATCAATACAAGGAAAAAAGTAGATATTTCTTTTTGCCTACTCCTCTTGAAATTGAAGAAGGACCACAGGCTGATGATGGTGAGTTTAGCTCAGACTCTCAAAATAGTTTGATGGAATTCAGGACATGGTACAAGTTTAGGCTTTTGTGATGTCCCTGCCACTTACTACCTTTTTGGTGGAGCAGACTATAGCTTCACAGTCTCAGTGTCTTTATCTGTATTATAATAGAAGAAAGTAGATGGTCTTTAAAGTTTCTCAATTTAACATTCTAGACTCTTGACTTTGTTAACATTCTTTCTAGCTCAGCCTCATTTATTAAAAGATAAGTATGATAAAATCTAAATCCTGTCTGTCCTTGGTGGTGGTGACGGTTTAGTCGCCAAGTCATGTCTGACTCTTGGGACCCTATGGACTATAGCCTGCCAGGCTCTCCTGTCCATGAGATTTCCCAGGCAAGAACACTGGAGTGGGTTGCCATTTCCTTCTCCAGGGTGTCTTCCCAACCCAGGGATCTAACCTGCATTTCTGTGGCTCATTGCTTTGGCACATGGCTTCTTTACCACTGAGCTGCCTGGGAAGCCAGGAAAAAAAGTATAGATTTATGTAAACACCTCCATAATACATCTCAGTACAGTTCTATTACCTCTAAAAAAGTTTCTTGTGCTGTTCATTTATAGACTGCCGCCCTAACATCAGTTTCTAACACACTGATTATACAGTACATAAAATTTTAAAACTGGCTTCATTCACTCAGCATAAAGCATTTGGGAATTCATCCCAAGTTGTTCGGTATGGCATCACTTACTTTTTTTTTCTAAGTAGCATTCCATTGCATGGATGTACCACACAGTTTGTTTATCATTCATCTACTGAAGGATATTTTATTGTTTCCATTTTTAAAAGGTTATAAATAATGTCACTAGAAACGTTGTATAGATTTTTGAGTGAACATCAGTTTTATTTCTCTGGAGGAAGTAACTGGGAACTGGACTGCTGGGTTGTATGGTAAGTGTATCTAACTCTTAATGAAATTACCAAATCGTTTACCATGGTAGATGTACTATTTTGCATCCCACTAGGAGGGTTCTCATGGTACCCCACTCCAGTACTCTTGCCTGGAGAATCCCATGGATGGAGGAGCCTGGTAGGCTGCGGTCCATGGGGTCGCTAAGAGTTGGGCACAACTGAGCGACTTCACTTTCACTTTTCACTTTCATGCACTGGAGAAGGAAATGGCAGCCCACTCCAGTGTTCTTGCCTGGAGAATCCCAGGGACGGGGAAGCCTGGTGGGCTGCCGTCTATGGGGTCGCACAGTCGGACACGACTGATGCGACTTAGCAGCAGTAGCAGCAGGAGGGTTCTAGTTGCTCTGCATCCTTGCTTCCACTTGGTATTGTTCTTAATTTTAGCCTTTCCTAGTAGGTGTGTATTGATGTCTCATGGTGGTTTCAATTTGCACTTCTCTGATGGATGATATTGAACTACTTTTCATGTGCTTAGCTGCCACGTTGTCAAGGTGATGTGACTGACATGGCTTATTACCGTCTGAAATGTAACCAGTTAGCCTACCAGTTTCATAGATGCTGGCAGAAGTCATGAGACTCTGGAGTCGGAGACAAAGGACTTCATTATTCACAGGACATCAGTAAAGTAAGCTTCATCTCATGTGGGCTGCCTTTGGTCCCAAGCCCCATGGCGCTGGTGTCACAACTGAGGAACCTAAGCTTAAGGAACTCAAATTCTTCACAGTGGGCAGCAAACAGAGCCAGCTGACTTTTGACCTGGAGGGTAATTAATATTCTGTCTATTTTACTTGACAAAAAAGTTGTTTTCTGCTCTGAAGGGAGGCAGTGATTGCTTCCTTCTGAGAATGTTAGATATGCAAACCTTCTTGAAGAGACAGTCGTAATTACAAAGGCCCCTTGTACAGAAATGTGAGAAACCATGGAGAATTATCTCCTATGTGTTTATCTTCTTTGGATAAGTCTGTTCACGTCTTTTGCCCATTTTAAAAAAAATCAGATGGTTTTCCTTTCTATTGAGTTTTGAGAATTATACATATCCTGGGTGCAAGTCCTTTGTCAGATATATGATTTGCCAGTATTTTATCCCAGTCTGTAGTTTGTATTTTCATTTTTCTCACAGTGTCATTTGCAGAGTGAAAGTTTCTCATTTTGCTGACAAGCTCAGGCTGCTGGTTCCAACCCTACTTCTGTGAGCTGTGGTTCCCGTGTCAGTTCATTTTTCAGAGGCTTCACATTGCTATTTCAACCTGTTTCCTGGTGCGTGCCAGTCTGAAACCTGTGCAGTGGTCTCTATTAGTGTGAGTTTTAGTTTTTGGTCCTGAGTAGCATCAGACCTATCCATGCATGCATGGGCTGGGGTGTTTACAGCTTGCTTTCTTGAATCCTCCTCAGTGATTCCTCCTGTATTTTTTAAGTTCCCTCGGGGCTTGTCTTCTCTCTTCTGATGAAGAGCTGCGGAAGCAGTCACCCTGCTCTGTCTTGTACTCCCATCACTGTCTGGGAGGCTCGAGAGAGGGAAAAATTGGTAGTTCCCTTTACTCAGAGGGTGGCTCCTGCAGTGTCTCATTCCAGTCACTTCTGTGGACATCGTGTGATTGCCAGTGGCTCAAGAGAAGGGGGGAGAAGACAAGAAAATGGAGGGATTTTCATATTTCCTCTCAGTGTTAGGAGTTTCTATTCTCATTCTTTGAGCCAGAACTAAAGGAGCGCTCTGTGCCCTGGCATGCATTTCTGGGTTGACTTGGTGATAGTGGAGGGGAGAAAGGGTAACCTGAATGGGGGTTCGGTGATACAGTGAGTTCTGGTCTTCTTCCTTAATTTTCCTCCTCCCCTTTGCCTTGAGAATCCTCGGAAGTAATGCTTGGTGCATGCCTCTTTAGTTGTGGCGCACAGGCTTCTCACTGCAGTGGTTTCTCTTGTTGCAGAGCTCGGGCTGTAGGTGCGTGGGCTTCAGTAGTTGTAGTAGTTGGGCTTAGCTGCCCCACCACATGTGGGATCTTCTTGGACCAGGGATGAAACCTGTGTCCCCTGCATTGGCAGGCAGATTCTTTGTCACTGTGCTGCAGGGAAGCCCCATCTTAACCATTTTCAAAGTGTGTAATATAGAAGTGTTAACTATATGTACCTTGTGCAACAGATCTCTAGAACCTTTTTGTCTGGCAAAACTGAAAGTCTCTCCCATTGAACAGCAACTCCTCTTTGCCTCCCTCCCCCTAGCCCCTGGCAACCATCATTCTACTTTCTGGTTTGAAGAGTTTGACTTACTTAGATACCTCATGTAGGTGGAATCATGTCTTTGATTTGTCTTTTTGTGATTGGCTTATTCTACTTGACATAATGTCCTCAAACTTCATCCATGTTGTAGCATATGATAGAATTTCCTTCCTTTTGGAGGCTGAATAATATTCCATCGTGTATACCACATTTTCTTCATTCATTCATCCTTTAATGGATATTTAGATTACTTCTAGCTCTTGGCTATTGTAAATAATGCTCAGTGAGCATGAGCATGCAGATATCTCTTCAAGATCCTGTTTTCAGTTCTTTGGGGAATATACCCAGTGAGATTGCTGGATAATTTTGTTTCTGATTTTTTGAGGCCCCTACATAGTGTTTTCCACAGTGACTGTGTCATTTTACCTTCCCACCAACTGTACACAAGGGTTCCGATTTCTATACATCCTTGTCAACACCTGTTGTTTGTGTTCTTTTTGATGATAACCATTCTGACAGGCATGTGGTGATATGTCATTGTGGTTTGGGTTTGCATTTACCTAATAATTAGTGATGTTAAACATCTTTTCACGTGTTAGTGGGCTGTTTGTATTCTTCATGGCTCAGATGGCCAAGAATATGCCTATGATGCAGGAAACCCAGGTTCAATCCTTGGGTCAGGAAGATCCCCCAGAGAAGGAAATGGCTACCCACTCCAGTATTCTTGCCTGGAGGATTCTATGGACAGAGGAGCCTGGTTGGCTACAGTCCACGGGGCCGCAAAGAGTTGGACACAACTGAGCAACTAACACTAACACACATATCTTCTTTGGAGAATTGTCTGTTCACGGCCTTTGCTGATTTTTAATTGGATTTTTATTGTTGTTGTTGAGTTTTAGTTCTTTACATATTCTGAATATTAAGCTCTTATCATATAAATGGTTTGCAAATATTTTATCCCATTCCATAGGTTGCCTTTTCCCTCTGTTGATTCCTTTTCTGTGCAGAAGTTTTTAAGTTTGATGTAGCCCCATTTGTCTATTTTTGCTCTTGTTTCTTATGCTTTTGGTGTCATATCCAAGAAATTGTCACCATATCTAATGTTGTGAAGTTTTCCCCCTATATTTTGTTCTAGGAGTTTTATAGTTTCATGTCTTACGTTTAGGTATTTAATCCAATTGGTCCTTTCTTAAAGTATGCTTTATTATTGGGCAGGAATAAGAAGTTTGTTCTTCAGTATGACAGGAATTTGCCATATTGAAACCTTCTTTTCCCCTCTTTCTCCCTTTCCTTCTCTGACAGCCTTAAGTTGATAAACTCATTCATTTTTTTTTCTTAATTGCTTTGCTGTGAGCAGAGTGATAGTGAATTCATTTTCAACAACACTTTCTTGTTTGCTCTTTGATTAGCAGGAGGAAGATGAGCCTTAAGTCTGAACGCCGAGGAATTCATGTGGATCAATCAGAACTCCTCTGCAAGAAAGGATGTGGTTACTACGGCAACCCTGCTTGGCAGGGTTTCTGCTCCAAGTGCTGGAGGGAGGAGTACCACAAAGCCAGGCAGAAGCAGATTCAGGAGGATTGGGAACTGGCAGAGCGGTAAAAGGACTTAACTTGGGGTTTTAGACAATGATGTAACTGGATATGCAGCATGGCGGGATACATTTTTCACTTCTCTTTTGAGCTATCAGCAAGTCAGCTTAATTTTAAGAGAAATGGATATATTCTTTTGTTCAGCACTTAGCAAATAGCTTTCAGTGATTTCTTCACTTTGTCTTAACTTTTAATTGTTTTGTGTTTGGGATGAGTTAAGTCTTAGTTCTCTAATGTAGACAATAAGTTCCTTTGAATGAAAATAAGCATACTTTATGGTGAAGATTAAATGAGGTTATAGATGTGAGTGCTCAGGACTTGGCTTATGACTTTCATCAAGCATTATTTTCCTCATTCTTTTAATATACCCGGTATGACATCTGGCACAGTGACAAGCGCACAGTAGTAGAGACCTGTTGATTTGTATCCATGGTCCTGAAAGTACAGAAATTTAACTTTTCATTAAGAAGTGGCATTTGTTAGTATTATCCAGGAATGTGACTGCGATAAAAATTAAAACACAGAATGTCTAGTGAGCACAGGAGCTAATAATATGCCATGAATAATACCACTGGACCACCAGGGAAGTCCCCAGGTTTTGCAGTTTTAGGTTGTTCCCAGGCGATGCTGATGCTGCTATCTGGGGAATCACACTTTGAGAATCATAGTTCTATGGATAACTTTTGAGATTTATTATAAATACCTCAAATTCAGCTGGTCCAAGGCCAAATTCCTTGCTTTCATTTACTCTAATCCCCACTCCCAGCAGTTCCTCCTATCCCTCCTCTTGTATCAGTTAATGACATCACTGTTTATTCAGTTGACTAAAAGACATCAATCACTCTTAATTTCTCCTTCACCTCCCACACACTGGTTACAACTAATTGAGCATGTTCTGCTTATTTCAGCTCAGAGAGGTCTCTTTTGAATTCCATCCTCTCCTATTTCCAGGTTCTTATTTCTCTCTCTTAAATCTGTGTACTCTGTTCTTAATTACTGTCTCTGTCCCTAGTCTGTCTGCCCCTCCAGGTGTCACACAGCTACTTGCATTATGTTTAAAGCACAGATCAGATAATGGTATTGGATTATAGTCTTTCTTGATTTCCCCACCACATGATGAAGTCCAGGATTATAGCAGGCTTGGCAGTCAAGGTTTCTTACCACCTGGCGCCTACCTGTACATCCAACATCAGAGTCCACCACATCATCAGTGATCTGACTACATTGAATGAACTTGGTCCTCAACACAAGTCACATCCTTCCCATTTGTAGTAGTACCTTCTTTCTGGAATGCCCTTTCACTTGGCGGAATCCTCTTGATCCTTCTAAGACTGGCCTGAATATCACCATTATAAAAACTTTTGGGACTTCCCTGGTGGTCCAGTGGTTAAGAATCCGTCTGCCAATGCAGGGGACACAGTTTCAATCCCTCATCTGGGAAGATTCCACATGCAGTGGGGCATCTAACCCTGTGTACCCCAGCTGTTGAAGCCTATGCCCTGGAGCAGACGCTCTCCAAAAAGAGAAACCACTGCGGTGAAAAGCCGGTGTACCACAACTAGAGAGTAGCCCCTGCTTGCTGCAACTAAAGAAAGCCTGCTCATAGTAACAAAGACCTGGCACAGCCAAAAATAATAAAATAAATTTAAAACAAAAAACCTTCTTGGACTCTGAGCAGATTTAGGTTTTTTCCCCCTGTATTCTCATAGCACTAGGGTTTTGCTGTCTACTTTAGGCGCTGTCACATTATGTGGTAGTTACTGACTTAGCTCTTTCTCTCTTCCACCTTTGAGGTTGTCAGGGAAGAGGACTAGACTTTCTTATGCGTAATCCTCGTACAACTGCTGAATGAACTCGATCCACGGAGAAGGTCCCTTTTGAAGTTTGTAGTGGCACATAGGATAGTTTGCTATCAGAGACCTCAGACCTCTTTGGTATTTAACCTCTAATTCTGAACGTTTTAGTTCCCCAGTTCATCGAGTTATTACCTGTAGATGCAAGGAAAACTTGGTGAATTGTCAGGGTTACTCTTGATCTCTTCTTGAATTACAGTCTGCAGCGGGAGGAAGAAGAGGCCTTTGCCAGCAGTCAGAGCAGCCAAGGGGCCCAATCCCTCACATTTTCCAAGTTTGAAGAGAAGAAAACCAATGAGAAGACCCGCAAGGTTACCACAGTGAAGAAATTCTTCAGTGCTTCATCCAGGGTTGGAGCAAAGAAGGGTAATTTTTTCTGATTCTCTTTTTCCTTCTGTGCCCAATGAGACACAGAATGTGTGTGGGCTTAGCTTTTTCTGTAAGCATTCAGAGATATCAACGCAGACTTGAGATGTTGGGTTGGAGGTGCAGATGACAAATGAAATCTCATTGGTTGGAGGACATTGTGTTTAAGAAAATTTATTTTTACTCTATCGAGGAATAAAGATAGTTGAAACATAAATTTATACCCATCGTATCTACTTGGATGTTTTATTTTTTGTGCCTTCAGTTTTTGAATATTGGTTTACTCTCCTTTGTTTAATATCCTCACTATCCATACCGTATCAGAAATGACTGCTTCAAGTTATCTTAAAGTTATCTAAAAGAGAAGTTTTCTGAAAGCTTGAGAGGCAGCTTGTGTCTAGATAGGAATTACTATTTAGAGAACATATAGGAAAGGCTCACTTTTGTATGTACTTGACCTTTTTCATCCTACTGCTTAAAATTCCACATTATAACCAGCAGGAAAATTCTCGCTAAAGTCACACTTGTTCTACCAGTGAGCTGATAAGCTAGTTGAAATGACCTAGCAGGAAGCAAGAAAGAATGTCTCTTGTTAGACCTTAGTCTCTCTACCTCTGTGTTGATAACCAACACTGATGCTGTCAGAGAGCTGTTCTCTTGGACACTTCCACTCCCTCCACCCCAACCTGGGATAATTGTCCTTAGGTTTTTGGTCTGCCTGCAGGAAGGGAAATAATAATATCACACCTAAAGATCTTTGCTGATCTTTTGGATTTAATGACTGTTGTTTTTTATTAGAAGGAACAATTGTTTATCAAAAAATACAGCACTTCTCTTTAGTAAAGGCAAACCTTTAAGCCGTCTTTTTTATTCACATGTTCCCATTTGGAGTTGTTCTTGCTTGGCTCTCTGTCAACAGTTTTCTGTACAGCGGTAAGAAGGGGAATAATCAATACCTGTTACAGATTAAATGTGTTTGATAAGAATGTATTTGGCTTATGATTTATTTATGAGGAGGTAGTATAGTAGGGTGATTAAAAGTGTATGCTTTGGAGTCACCCTGGTTTGAGTCTCAGCCTTGCAGTTTGTTAGCTGTGTGACCTTGAGCAGGCTAATCTCTTTAAGCCCTGTCTATTCTGAGGGATAGTAATGCCTATCATTGGCGTGTCTTGAGGAGTAAATGAGCTGATGTGTGTACAGCGTTTTAGCTCAGTACCTGACACACGTAGTAAGTCTCCAGTAAGTGTCAGCTATTTTAAGATGCATGCTGTTGATTTGATAGAATAATCTCTGCTGGTAAGGAACTCAAAGGTATTGATCAAAGCCATTCATTCCTGTTTAGTTTGCATTGTTTCCTGCTTTGGGGAAGTCTGATTAACCTTGTACATTTATAGATGTCTGGTGAAACGATATGTGACCACAAGTGAAATGGTAAAGAATTATAAAGCCATCAGCTCTAACTGTCACATTTTACAGATGACAGTGTGAAAGCCCATAAGGTGAATTTATTTACCCAAGGTCATATAATGAGCTGCTATATTAGAGCTCAGGTCTCCTAAGTCCTGGTTAAGCTTTTCCCCCTTATATCCCTTGACCTCAGATATGTATGTGTTCACCTATAACTATATCTGTGTTTGTATCTATGTAGATAGGTAAGTGCATAATAGTCACACACATTCATGACTGTACTTGGCACTTTTAAAAATCGTGTCCTAGCAGCTCCTGTACAGTGTACACTGTATTATGGAAAGAAGATTTGTACTTTAAAAGAAAAATTTCAAGTGATTTTTTTCTTAAAAACTTTCATGTGGAATAGTTCTTAACTTTTTAAATTTCTTTAGAATGATAGTTTTTTTTTTTTTTTTGATCTTTAGCTGTTTTATGTCTGTAGAAAGCATGTAGTGAGAAAGACCTCAGAATGTTGGGAAGAAAATTGATGTGTGTGTATTAGAAAAGAGGCTGCTATTGGATCTTTGTTTTGCAGATTGTTTACGAAACTCTGCCAGATGAACTCCGCATTTCAGGGTGATTATTTTTTTGGCCTTTGCATATGGATGAAGTTAGCCTATACTAAATGCAGTTTTCATTTATTGAGTCTAGACTACAATAGGCCTTTTATGTTCTGTGTTCTTTATTTTACTTTGTTAATACAATATGTCCTTGCTCTTGATATTTTACTTGCTTCTATTGATGGTATGAAAGAAAGCTCTTAAGCCAGGGCAGGTTGGTGGTACATAGAACACAAATAACCTTCTAAGGGATTTGAAAAATATTTTAACTTCCTGTTAGAATTGGCTGTGTCTTCAGAGAAGATTAATGGGACAGCTTGACTGTAAAGACTCAGAGAATTTACTTTCAGTTTTTTAATCTCCAAAGCAGGGTTGAGTGAGCTGTAGTTTAGAGTAAATCACAGTGGGTCAGCCAAGTTGAAATACTTGCTCATACATTCTAAAGTGCCCTTTTTCTTTAGAGCTCAAATAGATGTCACCCTGAGTAGAATCTTGTGTTCATCTTTTACAAATAATCTAAAAGTAGTGCTCTAAGGAGGGATTAAGGAAGGCTGTCTTTAAAAAACAAAAAAAAAAAAAGGAAGGCTTTTTTTTTCTTTTTTTTTTAAGAATTAAGATGCCAATCTTTCTACTCAGACCTTAGATTCTAAATACTCTCCTACACTGAAGTGAATTTGGGTTCCTTGGAGAAATGACTGATTCTGGAACTGGGAAAGGAGGGCCCCTCAGAAATGTTGGGGACATGTCAAACATCCAGAGGTCAGCTTGAATGGGTTCCCACTGACCAAATTTGGGTATCAAAACAAAGACAATAGATGGACTGCAGATGAATAAAACAATAATCCATTAGTCCATCCAACTAATAAAATAGATAAATAAAGAAGGGAAGAAAACTCTTGCTTACCATAGAGTGTTGATTAACAAATATAGGAGTAATAGAGATAGAAAATCATCATTTTTTTTCTTTAGCTGTTCTTTCTTTCATTTTTATTTTTTTTTTCCATTTATTTTTATTAGTTGGAGGCTAATTACTTTACATCATTGCAGTGGTTCTTGTCATACATTGAAATGAATTAGCCATGGATTTACATGTATTCCCCATCCCGGTCCCCCCTCCCACCTCCCTCTCCACCCGATCCCTCTGGGTCTTCCCAGTGCACCAGGCCCGAGCACTAGAAAATCACCATTTTATAGTCATCCTGGTAGGAACTGGTTCAGACAGGTTTCACCAGTGGATGCTGCATCTGGGGTGAGAGGAGGGAGTTTCCTGAGGAACAAGTTGTGAACCTTGATTCAGGTTAACTCCCACAACTTATTTACTGATGACAAATAGAGAAATGATAGCTATATTACAATGTGGGAAATGGACATTCTGTGCCTCTAGATATGATAATTTGAGAAGAACACAACATCAATTGTGTAATATTTAAGCTGAAAATTTATAACCTAACATCTAGTCATGAGGAAACAGTAGAGAAACCCAAATTGAGGCACATTCAGTAAAAATAACTGGCTTGTATTCTTCAAAATTGTCAGTGTCATGAAAAACAAAGACACATTTCCAGGTTAGAGGAGATTGTATGACCACTAAATAAATGTATGACCCTCAGTTTGATCTTGTGTTTTTAAAAAATTGCTTATTTTTCCAGTAACTATAGTTAGCAACAGAATATCCTTGTTGCTAAGAAATACGCAAACTAAGGGATAAAGAGCATGATACATACCATCTACTCTGAAAAAATTTAGAAAAAAATGCACATAGACATGGAGCAAAATGTTAAAACTTTGTGAATCTGGATAGTGGGTAGAAGGGGATTCTTTGGGAGAATTCCATGGACAGAAGAGTCTGGTGAACTATGAGCCATAGCGTCACAGAGAGTCGGACACAACTGAAGTGACTTAGCATTCATGCACATACTAATTCATAGCTAGTGAATGCAGTTCATCTTTTTATCTTTTAAGTTTTTTTAAAGTTGTTTTAGGGTTCACATAAAATTGAAAGGATGATACAGAGATTACCCATAGGTGCTATGCCTCCACACATGCACAGTCTCCTCCAATATCAACATCCCCCACCAGAGTGGTCCATTTGTGTTACAATTGCTGAACCTACATTGACACATGATTTTCATAAGTATGTAGTCTACATAAGGATTCATTCTTGGCATTGTACGTTCGGTTGATTTGGACAAATGTATAATGATATGTATTTACCATTATAGTATCATACAGAGTATCTTTACTTTGATTAGCATTTTGAAAGAGTATTTTTTAAAAGTCAAAATCATCTGTCTTTGGAGAATAGTATTTGTTGAGGGGAGAGAGTGTGCACAAGTAAGGCAAAAAGAGAGATGATTAGAGTTCTCCTGCCCTTGCCTGGCTTGCAGATCCAAAGTCTCAGGGCATGGTGTTCCCTGGAGAGTCCTCGGGCCACTCTGACATGCTGAGGCAGATACTGCATAGTAAAGAGCTCAGGCTGCAGAGTTAAGGCACAGAGTCCTGGGTGCAGATTCCAGCTTGTACCACTTAAATAGCCACAGCATCATCCAAGTTAATTAATGTTCTCAAGCCTTAGCTTATAGAGTTGTGAGGATTATACAACAAAGTATCAGGAAAGTACTTAGCACATAATAAACATTTGCTGTATGTAAACTGTTACCACTGTTAGTTTGTCAGATTGCATGTGTATTCTGTTTTTGTTGGGTGGAGTGTTCTATAATATCAGTTACTTCAAGTTGTTTGATAACATTGTTCAGGTATTCTGTCCTTACTGACTGTTTTGTATTACCTATAATATTGATTACCAAGAAAGGAGCATTGAATTATCCTATTAAAATTATGAATTTTTAAATTTCTTCTCTTTATGTTTCATGTGTTTTAAAGCTGTGTTACTAGGTGCATGGGCTTCCCTGGTGACTCAGGGGTAAAGAATCCGCCTGCAATGCAGAGACAGGGGTTCGATTCCTGGGTTGGGAAGATCATCTGGAGAAGGAAATGGCAACCCACTCCAGTATACTTCCCTGGGAAATCCCAGGGACAGAGGAGCCTGGTGGGCTACAGTTCATGGGGTTGCAAAAGAGTCAGACACGACTTAGTGTTAAACAAACAAACAAGGAAAATGCAAATATTTAAACATAAAATAACTTAAATTCAAGTTTAACTTTGATTTAGCATAATTTAAATAATCTTAAATTAGATACTTAAAGTAATTCCATGCATGGATCTTCTGTGTAATAAAACTTACTATGTTTAATTTTCCCAGCAGAAATTCAGGAAGCAAAAGCTCCCAGTCCTTCCATAAACCGGCAAACCAGCATTGAAACGGATAGAGTGTCTAAAGAGTTCATAGAATTTCTCAAGACCTTCCACAAGACAGGCCAAGAAATCTATAAGCAGACCAAGCTGTTTTTGGAAGCAATGCATTACAAAAGGGTAGGTTGAGAACCACCTAGAAATGTAGAGTTTTGGTTTTAGGAAAGGTCTTAGTGATAATCTAGTGAAACTTTGTCATTTTCCAACTGAGAAAATAAAGACCCAGAAATGTTGTCACTTACCTGAGAAATGTCACTGAACCAAGTTAAACATGACTCTGAGGCTAATACTTTGCCACTGCAGCTCAATGGTATTTGGATCATCTTCATGTGAAAAGTTTGACATCAAAGCCACTTGTACTGTGTCCTTTAAAAGTCTGTGTCCTTTTAATAAGCCTTCCTAACTTGTTACCTTGTAAATAATAAGCTGCCAAGAGGGCCATAGTAGACCTTGAACTCTTAAGTAATAATCATTAGACCGAGAATAATCATTTAGGATTTTTTTTTTGGTTTGGTTTTGTATTTTGATTTTTAATTTTCCTGTCCTTGCTCAGGTAGAGAAGTGAAAGCTAAAATTTAGACAATGAAAAGGACCATAGCAACTTCTGTCCATTTATTGTACAGGTAGGGAAGTTGAGAGCCAGAGAGGATGAGTGACTTATCCAGGGTCACTTGGACAACAGCTTGTGTCCTCTCCACGTGTGTCTTTAACCTGTAATTTCTAACCCATGGTTTCAACAGTGAACCACTCTTGACCTTTTTCCTCTTCATTCCTATTTTCTCCAGTCTTAGAGTATACCAGTGATGAGCAGCCTTTTTTCCACATAACACGTCAAGTCTAGAAAAATCAAGTATTTTCAGAATTGATTAGGATTTTTTTTTTGGTTTGGTTTTGTATTTTGATTTTTAATTTTCCTGTCCTTGCTCAGGTAGAGAAGTGAAAGCTAAAATTTAGACAATGAAAAGGACCATAGCAACTTCTGTCCATTTATTGTACAGGTAGGGAAGTTGAGAGCCAGAGAGGATGAGTGACTTATCCAGGGTCACTTGGACAACAGCTTGTGTCCTCTCCATGTGTGTCTTTAACCTGTAATTTCTAACCCATGGTTTCAACAGTGAACCACTCTTGACCTTTTCCCTCTTCATTCCTATTTTCTCCAGTCTTAGAGTATACCAGTGATGAGCAGCCTTTTTTCCACATAACACGTCAAGTCTAGAAAAATCAAGTATTTTCAGAATTGTGTTAAAATTTTTTTCAGCCATTTTATCTTTATCAGGAAATACTTTATATATGCACTGAGAGTTTTTAAAAATACTTCCTGATCCCCAAAATGTACCTCTTTGCACCTGCATAATTCCCACACACTGAAGTATTTCAAAGCAATGCTTAAAGAGATTTTTTTAAAAACTAGCTGCTATACTATTTGAAAAGCCTGGTTCACTTGACTCATCTGTGAGTACTTTTGATCTTTTCCTAAACCTTGTTGGAAAACTCAGGTAACCAATGGCTAAATGTACAGTTGTATTAATGAACTCCGGAGTCTGTTCATTGATTTTTAAGACTACATGTTTAGTAATGTTAGGTACTTGCAGAAGCCACTGACAGGACACTGTTGGACCTCTGGAGTATCATGAATAACACTGTATTTGCTCAGACTCTGGTGCCCTCAGAGTGTTTTAAATGAATGTAGCATCTTTGGGAATTCTGCAGAATTTGCCTACCTGGCTGCACCAACTGTGCTGTCCTTTCGGAGTCTCAGAATGTGAGTTACTGGAACACTTACCCATTACACATTTCATTCACTGAAGCAAAGGCAAAAGTTAAACATTTCTCTTGCTGAAAAATTACATGGTAATGTTTGTGAAAAGCACATTTGAGTAGTTTGTCATTAGTAACTGTCTAGCTCCTAAAAGTGACTGACTACTACTGGCTTTTCCTTAGAGTGATAAAGTGAACTCACCTACCTTGATAGTTCTTACCACCTTCATTTTGCCAGTTACTGAATTTGACAAAAACCAGGTACTTTTGCTCTGTTTTGTTCATCTGAATGAACAAGTGTTTCAACCTATATTCAACTAGCTTCACGACCACAGGGTATATTCCCTTGTAAAGTGGACTGTCTTAAAAATCTGAGGACTACATGCTTGGCGACATACTTTAAAACTTAAAATTAAACATGTATTTAGAAGGCGTAAAGCCCTAATATGTTTAATTTCCTGGGGAAAAAAATTATTGAAGGCAGCAGAGACTAGCAGTACAAAAAATATGAACATTAAAAGTTAAAACCTAAATAGATCAAACAGGGAACTGTAGTACAAAAGAAACAATCTAGAAAATAGGTCATGGAGATCTAGTTTCTAAAGATAAAATACACAGAAAACGTAATTAAGGAAATAATCAAAGATTTTGAAAGCTAGGGGTGGAAAAAAGACCTCAGCCAGACAATTTTCTTTTCTTTTTTTTGGAAAAAAAATAAAATGACTTTTCACAGACATTATAGAGACTATCCCAGGGATTGGTAAAGAATGCTTAAAGAAAAGAAGTAATTTATACTGCTAGACTGTGTTTTTTCTTAGGAAATTTTGAATAACCTTTTAGAATTTTGTAAAACCTAAAAGAATTTACCAGCACAAATGTGCTATTATATCACTTAGCTCCTTTGGGAAGAACTTCGAAGGATCTGAGATGTACTCTACTTGCAAGTTAAAAGTTAGCTTGCCATAGTTTCGTGGGCTTCCCTGGTGGCTCACTTGGTAAAGAATCCACCAGTAATGCCGGAGACTCAGGTTTGCTCCCTAGGTTGGGAAGATTCCCCTGGAGAAGGGAATGGCAACCTACTCCAGTATTCTTGCTTGCAGAATTCCATGAACAGAAGAGCCTGGAGGGCTACAGTCAATGGGGTCGCAAAGAGTTGAACACGACTGAGCAACTATGCTTTCACTTTCATGATTCCATGAATACTGGCAGAAGACACAAGCTTCCTGGGTCAGGAAAACAAAAAAAAGCCAGTTCATGATGGCAGAGTGGCCCTAGTAGATCAATACATGTAAATGTACAAACTAGTGCATTTGTACTGGGTCCCTACATATCAGTGCCCATAGGGCATGCAGAGAGGACCAGGTAATCCCTGTATAGGCAGTGAGTTATGCTAAGGAAGAGTATCTTTTATAGGGCTATGAGCCTGCCTGACTTTTGCTCCAGAGAGAAACCTTTTTATATTAGACAGTGACAGCCTACCCTTTTCACTTGAATGCGGCCCCAACCCTGTTTTCACGGCCTGTCCGCTATACAGCTATCCTGGAAGAGGGTGCAGAAGAGAGGCCACCAGTGTCTCCTCACAAGATGTGCAGAGATAGGAGAGATCAACACAGAACTGTCTCCCCGCGTCTTTACAATAGTATAAAGGGAGTAATAAATGGCCACTTGAATTCTTTTTTAAAAAATTTATTTTTAATTGGAGGATAATTGCTCTACAATATTGTGTTGGTTTCTGCCTTATATCAGCATGAATTAGCCATAGGCATGTCCCCTTGCATTCTTTCTTTCTATGCCTGGCTCTGTGGTATCTTCCAGGGACGTGACAGTAAACAGTACCCTCAGGGAACTGACTTTTTAGTGGAGGAGATAGGCAATAAACTAATTTATAATATACAACTGTGGTTAGTCCTCTGAAGAATCTAAAGCAGGCTAAGAAAACAGAGTGGCAGGAGAGTTAGTTCACATTGCAAAATAAATGTTGTGCTAACGTGTAAATCTGTGCAATAGAAATAGAAAATGGAGTTTTCTGAACTGTAACAAAATTACAGTGATTGTGTGGAGCTGGGGGAGGAATTAGGTGACCCATTGCCACCTATAAAACAGGCCATTTAGACCTTTAAAAGGAGGCCATAGTTTCTAGCTAGGAGTGAGTACTGGTAATAGTCTTAAGAAAGAAATGTGTTCTTACTTTTAAGATTTGATGTGAGTGAAAGTTAGCCATGTTTATAAATATTATAAATCAGTTCATTGTCTGTCTCTTCCTCTAAGCTACCTAAGGAGATAAGCCATTGCAGAAAGTATTGAATTATTTGCATTCAGTCTGCCTGTTCAATCTGAATGCCCTCTGAGAATTATTATTTTTTATGTTATTGCCTGGTATAGTGGCTGGAATTCTATTAGCCATGTAATAAATGTTTTCAGAATGAATAGAAATGTAATTTTCTGGAAATTGGGGGGAAACAATCTTACTGGAAAATCTGAGAAAACAGAATACCAATAGAGATAAATTTAGCAGCATGGTAAGATAAACCCACAAAATTCAGTTACAGTACAAGACGCCAGAGATGAAAAGCTAGAGAGCCTAGCAGACTTTTTAAAAAGGGCAATTTTTAAAGATAATAGCTATAAAGAGATTAAATATTAAATGATAATTTAATACAGAAAGAGGTTTATTCAAAGAATTAAAAGACTGTTTCTGGATTTTATCTTGGATTTAGCTGAGGAAGTACAGATATCTTGGATCTAGCTGAGGAAAACAAAAAGATAAATTTACAGATAAAGATACCTTTCAGGTCAGTATGAACACTTAAAATATTAAATTACAATGTTACATTGTTTATTCTAGTAAAAGAAGGTAGCAGGAGTTTGGGAGGGGAAGTTTCTAAATGTAGCAGACACTTCAGAATTTACTAAAATGAAAGTTACCACAATTAAATATGATTTTCATATATAGAAAAAAAGAGAGAATGGTAAAATAAACCAGGGATTTCAGAAATAAATTCAGTTTCTCAGGAGCAAATTACATGAGAATTAGAAAAACAAGGGGGAACAGGATTGCTTTTTACTAATTGCTGCTGAAGAAGACAGGGAAGTTTGTGTGCAGATTATTTAAGGTCTGTGTTTGATATGAACCTTACATGCCCACCAAATAAAAGAGCTAAGAATGAGAAACCTTAGAAGAAAGCAAAATAAGATTTATTTCATCATCAAATTATTTCATCTACAGAGAGGAGCTACAATTGGAACTGTTGAAAATTTTTCTTAATAATCAGGAAAAAGGTTTAATGGTATTAAACATTCTGGCAGTTGAGGAGTGCAACAGTTAAGGTACGACAGGGCACTGCTGAGTGCTGTGAGGCCTGCAAGGTTATTTTGACCAAGGGAATGGAGGGGACATCTTCGCAGAGGAGGCGAGATGGGGACCGAGCCTTGAATGAGACCCTGTGGTACCTCCTTGTGCAGCTTCTGGAGGATTGGAGAGGAGCAGAAGTAATCTGGGCAGAGAATAATTTTACACTGTTAGAGAGGCGGGAAAGCTAAGTGCAGATTCTCAACAATAGGAAACCTAGCAGGGTATGTGGGGACCAGATCGTGATCTAAGGTGTTCAGTTGAAAAAGAAAGGAAAGATCAAAAGTGGGAAGAGCAGCTGAACTCCAGGGGAGAGGTAATGAGAACCCAAACCAGGGAAGGATGGACGAGACATTGTGAAGGCGGGTAGGCAAGGTTTGCTCACTATCCCTCACGCCAGGCCATCTTTTCTGAATCAGCCGGAGCGTCAGGGACTGTGTGCTTGGTCGGGGCTTTATTGACCCATGTCACTGGCCCGTGCAGAGGTGGTCTGAGTCCTGTGGAATTTGTCTTGCGCATATCCATGCCCTCCTGAGATGACATCTTCATGAGAACCCTTGGAGAAATTCCTGATTTTGGAGTCAGAATTTCACCTAAGAAACTGCTTTTATATTTGGACACTAAGTTGTGTGACTGTTTTCATCTTACTGATGATTGCTAGACAGCTTAGTTAGACAAATTTACGGGCTGACTTTTTTTTTACTAACTTNACCCATGGCACACAGTGGTAGAAGATGGTTAAATAAATTGGCTAATATAATGGAATATTATAAAGCCATCAAATGATTAAATAGACTAGGTAAGTCAGAACATACATATACATGTAAAATTTCAAAATATGCATTATACCCATGTAAGAATATGTGTATACAGCAAAAAGAAATGAGAAGTCATGGAATGTGGTAAAGAATATTAAAGGACAGGCTTTTCTTCCCTGCAGCAGTAATTGAATTCTTAAGTACTTCTGGGATTAGTTCAAGGAGTAGGTTTTGTAAATTTAGAGCTTTCCTCATGATCTGTCTTTCAGTTACTTAGCAGCCTCTTTGTCCCTTTGTTTCAGGACTTAAGCATTGAGGAGCAGTCAGAATGTACTCAGGATTTTTACCAGAATGTGGCTGAAAGAATGCAGACTCGTGGAAAAGGTAATCCTTTGTTAGCCTGCCTCTGAGGGCCTGCTGGTAGTTGGACAGACCTCCTGCTGAGTCTCTCAGTAGTTTCTCTCTTTCTCAAGTCTTTTGTTGGTTTGCCTGCTCTGTACTGTAGCTTACTTCACTAGCATTCAGATAGTTGGTTTTATACTCAGCAGTATTTTTGAATACTACCACGTATATCATTCCAAGATAATCAGGCAATTGGATAATTTCTTGAGCAATATTTAATAATTTCATTGGGAATAGGGACAGAGTCAGTTAAAACCCCTTGGGAGGCTTCTAAATAAAACCCTCATCTCAGAATTGCCATTTTGGTGAGAAATCTGCCCCATTTGTTTACTTTAGAGTGACCCCTAAGGTCATATAGTAGACCTCTGAAAAGCGAAAGGGTGAGTCTTGCCAGCACTTGCCAGTCTTGGGAATTTCAAGTGCTTTTCTAAAGTAGCACCTTGCTACGGTCTTCTCTTTAAGCAGGGTGTACACCTGTTAGGTCCTGCCAGACAGCTTCAGCTAGAAGTAGGGATTCTGTAAAAGGCAGCCCCAAAAGTTGGGGTAATTTTTTAGAGTGTTTTTTAATATCTTATACTTTTGTTTGAGTGTTTTTAATATATTTCTGATAAATTAGTTTTCTGCTACATTGAAAGTACTATGAAAATATCACTCTTCATTTCAAATGTTCATCCTTCATTCAAATATCCTTTTGAATATTTCAGTGCCTCCAGAAAGAGTTGAGAAGATAATGGATCAGATTGAAAAGTACATCATGACTCGTCTCTATAAATACGTGTTCTGCCCAGAAACTACTGATGATGAGAAGAAAGATCTTGCTATTCAGAAGAGGATCAGGTAGTTGGTTGTTGTGCTTTTCCTTGTTGTATTTACTGCCTCCTGTTGGAAGAATACATCTGAGAAAACAGGGCCCTTGAGTTTCAGACCTTGGGTGCAAGTAACAGCTAAGGTGTGAGCCATCCTTAGCATATAAACTCCTTTGTGATGTCAGAAAGAAAAGGAATGTGGTAAATTGACAAGAGGAAAAGACTCAGGTCTCCATCTTGCTCATCTGTTTGAATCCAGGCAGCTTTAGATGAGAACCATGCCTGGTATTTGAGACTGTTCGGATCTCCAAAATTTCCAAGGAACAAGAGGAAATTTCATTGTTTTCTCATTTCACTGCACTAACTGTCTTGTCAGGCAGGAAGCTGTGAAAATCCGTATAAAGACAGTGTGTGTTGTCTTTCTTTGTTATTCCCAGGGGTGATTCAGCCATTTCTGCTGCTGCCTCTTTCCACTAGCCTGGATGGCTAACACTGTGCAAAGCACCCACTCCTCCATGGCCAGTAGACTGAGTCCCCAGTGGCCGCGGAGCACTGGGGAGAGAGGCCATCGATGTGTGGGCACAGGGCCAGGCCTGAGCTGAAAAGGGGTTCTGGAGGAGAGGGAGCTCGGATCACAAGTGGGGTTCCTGGGCAGCGGGATTGGTAATCCGTAGCTCTGAACTTAGTGATGTCTCATCGGAAGTGTGGAATTGATCTTGGGAAGATAAGGGAGGAAACCAGAAGTAACTCAGTGGGCTTTAGACTGAGGTGAGAGCGTTAGTCAAGCATGTGGTGAGGATTGGCAGCAGAATTTCATGAGTGGAATCACCACATGACCAGAAATCTCAGCAGTTCAGGCAGAAGTGCCATATGCCTGATGATCTCTGACTTGGGCTCTGGTGTGCCTCAGAAGTCAAGGGGAGAGCCTGAAATGTGGGCAGTGAGGACAGGGAGCAGCAGGTTCTTCCCACATCTTCATTCTCAAATATCCAGTGCTTTTCCAATGTAGTATAATTTCATTTCAACCGGAAAAATTGTCTTCTGCTTTCTTGTGATAAGTGAAGAAGAGAAGCCTCATCATAGGATTCCAGTTGCCTGGCACATCAGCTGAGCCGTTAGTATGTGCAGGGGCTTGGATTGCCTGATGAGCCAGTGGTGCCCCGTCTTTTCCTATCACTGAGGAAATAACATGATAAATGATTACAGTCCATCCTTGGACGTTTTTTTTTCACTTGTCTGTCTCTCTCTCTTGGTAGAGCCCTGCACTGGGTTACACCGCAGATGCTTTGTGTCCCTGTCAATGAAGAAATTCCAGAAGTGTCCGACATGGTGGTGAAAGCAATTACAGGTCAGTGAAACTAAGAACTTTTGTATTTGGATGTTTTCCCCTAGAAGTTAGCATTTTGCTTTATAAATCTGTACTTATTTCAGTGAGCAAAAAGATAGTATTTCTAAAATACTTCTAAAATGCAGATTGCCAAAGCTATATTGGAATGTAGTAAAAGTGATTTAAGAGTGTTAGGTTTATGAATTTGAAACATTTTCAGATCAGCAACTAAACCACTCTCCCCCTTCATTTTCCATGACCATTTCTTATTTCTTGAGCATTGACCTAAAGTCAACTAGGTAAATTTCTTAAAACTCAACTGTATTTATATATCAAAATAATTTCGAGAGATGAAATTGGTGAGGCATGGTTAACCCCAAGCTAGAATTATATATTAAAATGATGTTTCTGCTGCTGCTGCTGCTGCTAAGTTGCTTCAGTTGTGTCTGACTCTGTGCGACCCCATAGACGGCAGCCCACCAGGCTCCCCCGTCCCTGGGATTCTCCAGGCAAGAACACTGGAGTGGGTTGCCATTTCTTTCTCCAATGCATGAAAGTGAAAAGTGAAAGTGAAGTCGCTCAGTCGNCTGCTGCTGCTAAGTCGCTTCAGTCGTGTCCGACTCTGTGCGACCCCATAGACGGCAGCCCACCAGGCTCCCCCGTCCCTGGGATTCTCCAGGCAAGAACACTGGAGTGGGTTGCCATTTCTTTTTCCAGTGCATGAAAGTGAAAAGTGAAAGTGAAGTCGCTCAGTCATGTCCAACTCTTCGTGACCCCATGGACTGCAGCCCACCAGGCTCCTCTGTCCGTGGGATTTTCCAGGCAAGAGTACTGGAGTGGGGTGCTATTGCCTTTTCCGATGATGCCTGTAGTTGGTTGTTAATCAGAGATGTGCTTTGAATTTCTTTTCTGGTTAGCTGGAGAAGTAAATGAAGTGCCATAAATCGATGTGGCTCCAACATTCACCTAATAAGGTTTCTGTTTCTTAATCAAGGAATAACCCAGCAGAAGTGCAACACAAAAGTTTTAAAACAGAACTGGTGGAGAAGACATCCAACTTGTCCAACTTCTCCTTAATTAAGGAGAAGAGTTGGAAAGAGAGTACCAATTTAGAGATTTTTAATGAAATTCTGCTGGGAAGGAAAGTGGGTCAGCTGATGTTAGCAGTGCTGGAGGCATGCCATTAAGTAGTCTCCTTTGGTTATAAGAACCAGAGACTCGAGTTGCAGTAAGAAATGAGGGTTTGCTTAAGATATTATCAGGGTTGGAAAGGAGGCGAGGCTGTTACAGAAACTTAGCTCCAAGGTCCCTTCAGGGACTAAATTATCTTCTAGCTAACATGATTCTTCCACTTTCTCAGGTTCTGCTTCTCTTTGTACTTTTTCACATTTCAGCTCTCAGTATAAAATGTATTATTTTCTGTAACTCCCTGCGTAGAGTTTAATTGTCCTCACTAAATACCATCCTCTTTGTTGCTCAGAGCTTTTCTGCTAAGCTCCTCATGGGTCCCATGAATGACCGTTTTGGGTCAAGGCCCAACCCCCACCCCTGCCTTTTGCTCAGGGGATATCCATAAGAGATTGAAAGTGAAGCCTGAAACTTGTACTTATGTTTTCCCCCAAAGACTCTTACTAGTAAGTTCAAGATCAACTGTTTAAATTTAAAGTACTTCATAGGAATTTATGTTGGGGACTCTTTTCTGAAAAGCCACAGAACAGACCTTATAAAACCAGAAACTACAAGTGCCAAATCATTGTTTACTGAAAAATAAAAATAAGAAAGAAGATGTCAGTAATATATCAGCAGTTTGTTAACAGAATTTGAGCTGTGGGACTTGGCTCTCTTGGCATCTAAGATGAAGTTTGAAGAGATCTTTTGATAGTAAAAGTATAGCCACGAAATTTTAAAAGCCTTCTTATGCTCTCATCTTAGCTCCCTCTTCTTGCCAATCCAAGAGCTGCCACATTCTGCCACTGAGGACCAGAGTTGATATGATCACTTTCTTCCTATGCTATAAACTTGTCAACCTTCAAAAGGACAGTCGCTAACAATAGTCTTAAATGTGGAGATAATCTCTGAACTTTCTCCAAATCACTGTCTGCTTCTAATCAGGACTGTCTTTTTTGTTTATAAATACACTGCACTGAGGCCCGTGCCACTTCAGTTGGCATCCATCGTCTAGTGGGTAGAACCCCCGAGTGCTACTAAACACCCTGCAGTGTGCAGAACAGTCCCTGCAGCAGAATCATCTGGCCAAAATGTCACTAGCACCCAGTTTGACTGACCTGGGAGTACTGCCTACTTTGCTTTCAAAACCCCATTAAAGATAAGTCTGGACATCTGCTAAGATAGAGTCCCCACCCTCAACCCTATCTTTCCTCCTGGCCCCTGGTGGCTCAGACAGTAAAGAATTTGCCTGCAGTGCAGGAGACCTGGGTTGGATCCCTGAGTTGGGAAGATCCCCTGGAGAAGGGAATGGCAATCACTCCAGTGTTCTTGCCTGGAGAATTCCATGGACAAGGGAGCCAAGCAGGCTACAGTCCATGGGGTCACAAAGAGTCAGGCATGACTGAGAAACTAATGCTTTCACTTTTTTCAAAAGCCTTGAACAGAAAACAAAGCAGTATCTGAGGATTCTGAGAAGTAAGTCATAGCAGATAGATTGGAAAGGGAAGTCATTACTAGAGGAACAGCTAACGCAGTCGTGAGTTTCCTGTGTTGTTTACTTTTCTTTCCACATCTCCTAGTTTAGACTTCAGGGCAGCACAAATCATGGAACTGCTCCTGGGGATGGGTGGTCCAAAAGCAAAAAGAAACTTTTCTCAGACTCAAGATACTGGGCAAGGGTGGGGTTCACTACCAGATGGAGAGTGTGGAAGAAGTCCCTTGGGTTTTGTTTTCCCCTTTATTTTCCTTCCTTTTTCTTCTCTTCTCTTTTTCTTTTTACACTGCTGGCCCTGCTCCTTGGCAGGGCAGCTACACACGTGTCCAGATAGAAAATACAGGCATGCCTCAGAGATTCTACAGGTTTGGTTCCCAATCACCGCAATAAAGCAAACACCATTGTAAAGTGAGCCACACGGATGTTTTAGTTTCCCAGTGCTGATAAAAGTTCTATTTACATGGTACTGTAGTCTCTTCAGTGTGCAGTAGCATTATGTCTAAAGAGCAATATGCATACCTTATTTTAAAAAGACTCTATTGCTAAAAATGCCAAAGCACCATGGTAACATTGAGATCTTCAGTCATCATCTTCAGATCATGTAACAGATATAATAATAATGAAAAGGTTTGAAATATGCAAGAAATATCAAAATGTGACACAGAGTAATTAGTAAGCAAATGCTGTTGGAAAAATGGTGCTGAAAGATGCTCAACATAGGTTGTCGAAAACCTTCAATCTGTAAAAAAAAAAAAAAAAAAAAAATGCAGTATCTGTGAAGCGCAATAAAATATGTGCCTATAATTCACTTTTAATTCATTTTAAAACTTAAGGAATAAAGATTAATGAGAACATGGTTAAATATTTGATATGGAGAATGTAAACCAACAGTAAAAGACAGAAGGCTAAATAAAATATATATATATAGACATTCCCCCAGATCTTTTTGGTAATAAGTTGTATTTAAATAGAAAAAGAAAAATAAATAGACTGAGACATAGTAACAGTAATTAAAACCCAGAATAAAAATTTAAACAATAAAACAAAAATTATATAATTCATACAATAGACAGGTAAGTAGGGAGGGATAAAAATATTAGTAAATTAAAATAAGGTCTCAGCACTGTCCAGTGTTCCTGTCTCCCACATGTTAGTCTTCCATGGCTGATGGTCCTGTGAGAACTTCCCCAGGTAGCTGACCCCAGGGATGAGAGCTGAGAGCAGAACAAAACTCTGGCATGTACCACCAAACCACCTAAATCTGAAACTTTTATTTCTGCTAATAGCAAGAAATTGGTGTCAAATTAAACCACTTCAGCTCTTTTCTTTCATGGTGTTCTAGACTGTAGGCAGGTCTGTCCAGAGGCACCCTCCTGCCCTCCTTTTGTGTGGTTCTGAGAGTGCAGAGTTCAAGCTTGACCCTTCCTCATTGCCTCCTAGTCCTTGTGACAAGAATGTGAACTTGTAAGAGCCTGTTAGTTGGACTTAGTGGTAGTGAAGGGCAGTGAAATAATTTTGCTGCTACCCAGCAGGTTATAAGTGTCATAAAGCTGTTGTTAGATACTTACTGCTATTGGGAGATTTATATGCCGTGAGGATTGGCCACTGTGGACCTCTGTGTGATGGATTTCAGCCACTTGCACTTTAATATCTAGCTCAGAGATGCCTTGTAAAATAGCCACATTTCTAAAAAGCTGTATGCAAATGAGGCCTTCTGAACTGAGTTTTACAATGTATTTACAAGGAACAAAAACAGTGAAACGACTCTGCTTATTTCTCTGGGGAGCTCATAAGCATTTTACATCATGACTTAAAGAATGCACTTTCAACTCAGATAGGCTTGGCTTCAGATCCCTGCTCTGAGCCTTTTTATTGTATAATCTTGGGCAAATCATTGACCCTCTCTGAACCTCAGCTCCCTTAATGATAATAGTGCACATGCATACCCTGGGGATGGAGAGAGTATGCTTGTAGAGCACGCAGTGTAGGGCCTGGCTGATGGGCACATGTGCCCAAGTGTGAGCTAGTGTCTACTGTTGTTGCAGGCTTTCTCATATGCTAAGTTAACTAGTGGAGAAAGGGTTAGCGAGGGCACCTCTGTAACTTAAGAGACGAAATAGGATGATCCCGACACCTCTTTGGTGTAACAGTCTCCTCACTGGAAGCAGCGTCCCTTCTCCGTTGTAGATATCATTGAGATGGATTCGAAGCGTGTGCCCCGGGATAAGCTGGCCTGCATCACCAGGTGCAGCAAGCACATCTTCAATGCCATCAAGATCACCAAGAGCGAGCCGGCTTCAGCCGATGACTTCTTACCCACGCTCATCTACATTGTCTTGAAGGGCAACCCCCCACGCCTTCAGTCCAACATTCAGTACATCACCCGCTTCTGCAACCCAAGCCGGCTGATGACGGGCGAGGATGGCTACTATTTCACTAATCTGGTAAGGACTTGACTTGGTGGTGGTGTGGAGAAGAACCCAGAAGGTATTCATTTGAAGGATGTGACAAGGGCTCTCACAGGCCGGTGATACGTGCATGCTCTGGAGTTGAGGGGTCAGCATAGCTGAGGATGTGTGCTTGGTATCACAGAGCACATGTGACCAGGCCAGGCACACATTCCACCTCCCAGGACTGAGCCACTGTGGTTTCCCTACAGGACACGTGATGGCCACATTGAGTGTCTTTGCTGCTATTGGCTGTCACTGCCCGGAGACCCGGCTGTAAGAACGCTCCTTTACTTGCTTGTTTCAACCATGAATAAATCAGATCTTAGGCTGATTCCTTTATTAAAAGACTTACTATTTATTTTTTGTTTCATTTCTGCAAATTCCCTCTTAAAACTGAATACTGAGATGCTGATGCATAGAGGATATGCAGTGATTTTCAGCTCTTGTTTTTTTACAGTACTAATTAACACTAGGCAGAACAGTCATGAGGTACGCACATCTAAGGCCTGAGGCCACATGACTGACCGTTGACCGCTGGACTTCTCGTTTGTGTTAGAATAGATTTATTGTCACACTCATGAATTTGAGCCTCAAGACACCTTATGGTCTTTGTTTCCTGTGCTGGAAGCTATACAGGGCAATAGGTAGGGAGGGGAGGCCAGGTTACATAAGGAAGCGTTTCTGGTAAATTGTCTAAAAAGATGGATCCTTGAATCACCTGCACTCTGCAGCTCTTCCCGGCCCCCTGACCCACAGCCTTAACTGTGTGCACACCATTTTTCTTCATCCTCTTCTTGCCAGAGTCAGAGTCATGGCCCCAGTGAAACCACTGTGGCAAAAGTAAAAAAATCAGCCCGCTGCCACATGCCTTAGGGCCTCTGCTTCGGTTCCTTCCTTTAACACCCCCGGTGAGGCCTTCCTTCCGGAACGTCTCGGGTGCCTCAGCGTCCGCGATTCCACTCCACCTCCCTGGGCTTTGGGGGCCTGGTGTCCTCCTTGTCCCCTTGAACGTGTCACTCCCTGGGGGCTCTGTCCTCTGTGCACCTCTCTGCCTAGACCGTCTCCTCTGGTCCTAGCGCTGCTGGTCACCTGCACAGTGATGACCTGCAGTTTTGACTTCACTCTGAGCTTCCCAGCTAATTTATTGTGCTTCAGATTTAATCTGTTCAGAACTGAAGCTACTTTCCCATCAAATGTTTCTTTCTTTTCCGTTATGTACTGTTTCCATTAGTGGCAGTACCATGTATCTACTCCCCTAGGCCAGGAACCTCAGAATTATCTGCCTCTTCTTTCCAGAAAATAGGCTGCAGTGATTCCACACACATAGTGTGAACCGGTGGTGAGGGTCAGACAGGCCCGTTCTTGTCAGATGAGGCTGTTGAAATAGATTTGCTAAATATTCTTTAAGGAGATTCGCTTTTTTATGAATAATAAGGTAAGATCCTATGAACGAGTTTCTCAAAAGAAATTCTGAGAGCTGCCTATTTTCTCCTGTTATATTTTTCATGTCTTTCTCATGAAAATACTTTATTAAAAAAAAAGTGTGAAAATGGTATGTTTATATTCTAGAATTCTATATATATTTCTATAGATATAATTCTAGGTATGTTCTAGAAGAAATTAGTTAAGGGAATATAACTAAGACATCTGTGTCACCCAGCATTTCCCCCAGCATTTCTGTACTAATGATTGCTACCATTTATTCATTGCTTACTACAGACCTGTGAGCTAAGCCCGAGACACGTGCTACATTATTTAATTCTCACAATAACTCTGGGTGGTATTTCCCGCATTTTACAAATGTGGGAACCTTAGAGAGCTTAGGTAACTTTTCTAGGGTCACACAGCTCTGGGCTATCAGTTGATAGAGGTGACATTTCACTCAGGTTGACTTGTATCAAAGTATATATTTTTTAACTGTTTGACGTTAAAACATCTCTGAGGACCACCAGTGCTTGCAGAGATGCTCAGTGGCAGGCCGTGCGCTGGGTGGGTCTGCAGAGCTGGGAAGGGCCTCGTGGGCCGTGGCCCTGGAACTCCAGGCCACACCGTGATTCCTCTGCCCCGCAGCGTGGCAGGGAAGCAGAGCGCCTCTGACTTCAAGGAAGCATACAGGAAGCTCTGTGATAACCATTGTGGAATGAATACTAAAGGTGCCTCTTCAGATATTTCATTCTGTACAAGACCCTAGGACCTTCGACCACCCAAGGAGAGGACTGAATTTCTGGCTCAATGAACTTGGCAGTTAGATTTAATTTTTTTAAAGGAAGAAATGCATTATTGCAAATGGGAGTATAAAGGAAACAACATAAATGGCCATGGTAATTTTTGAAGCTGAAGTCCATGGAGGTTCATAAGATTATCTTGTCAAGTTTTTACTCTGTTTAAATTCTTTGTAATAAATGGATTTTTTTATCTTCTCTTTGAATGTTTGTAGCTCTCCTATATAACTATAATAAATGACTTTCTCTTCTTTTTATAGTGCTGTGCCGTGGCTTTCATTGAGAAATTAGATGCTCAGTCTTTGAATTTAAGTCAGGAAGATTTTGATCGATACATGTCTGGCCAGACTTCTCCAAGGAAGCAGGAATCTGAGAGTTGGTCTCCTGATGCTTGCTTAGGTGTGAAGCAGATGTACAAGAATTTGGACCTCCTGTCTCAGTTGAATGAACGACAGGAAAGGATTATGAATGAAGCTAAGAAACTTGAGAAAGACCTCATAGATTGGACAGATGGAATCGCAAAAGAGGTTCAAGACATTGTTGAGAAATACCCACTTGAAATTAGACCCCCAAATCAGTCTGTAGCAGCTATTGACTCTGAAAATGTTGAAAATGATAAACTTCCTCCACCGTTGCAACCTCAAGTTTATGCAGGATGATGAAAACTTAACATGGATAGTATTTATTTGAGCCTGAATTGTAGCCAGCCCTTCCTGCAGTCCACTGATTGGGGTCTAGAGTATAACTTAATTGCTTAGAAGTATCACAGTGTTTTTAAAGGTACAGTTTGTGGGGATTGTTTTGCTCGTTTTGTTTTCCTGTCAGGGGAGGCTTAGTAAATAATAAAGTACTATTTATTGAGTCACTGAAATAGATTCATTTAAGGCTTGTGTGAAAAGTTTGTCTATAAATCTATTTTTTTCTCCATGGTTTTCCTATGTGCTTCCTCTGTGGCATTCACTGTGTTTTTGCATTTGGTTAAATAATTGCCTTTTAAAGGAGAAAACAAATGAATGCTACAAAAAATGTATGTGGTACCGCTGTTCTACAGTTTGACATACTTTTATAATTGTAAAGATAGAAGATATATTGCTAAGTAAATATGTAAAATTGTAAATATGTAAAAAAAAAGGAATGATGTCCGCTGTGCATGGCATTTTCATGTGTTAATTCCATTTCTTTTTGTTTGTTTGAAATGAAGTATATTGAATATTTGCCTTTTAACACTGTTTTATTTGGTTTGCCCCACTAAAATGAATGCAGAAATACTTAGACACACTGTCCCTGAAATGTTGGCTCCAGCTTTAACAATGTGTTAGCCCTAACTTTGAGGTCCTGTTCAGTCAAAGAACATGACACCATTGAATCACGTTTTCAGTCATGAGAAGTTACTGTTCAGTACAGTCGATTGGAGACTGAACCGTGCTTCCAGCGCCTCTGTCCTCCTTCCATTCAGCAGATACTCCCTGAGCTCTTGGTTAGGGTGGTGGCCCTAAGTCTTGAGTCAGAAGCCAGGAATGAATAGGTCTCTGCAGGTGAGAGCTAATGGAACATTTCTCTGAGCTTTAAAGTGTAGAGGCAAGAGAGGGAGGCGTCTCTGCTTCCATAGTGTGCTTGTGACTATGGACAGCCCAGTCACATGTCACATAAGCCTCTTTCAGGGTTTCTCAACCTCAGTACTATTTGGAGCCTGAGGACATTTTATTTGGCGCCACCTCGTGTATTGTAGAGTATTTAGTGGTGTTGCTGGCGTCTACGCCCACTAGACACCAGTAGCAGCCCCCCAGTTGTGAAAAATCGTCTCCAAACATTGCCAGATATCTCCTGGGGGACAGAATTGCCCCCAGTTAGGGACTGCTGATCTGTTTTGTAAGCAAAGGCGTTTTCCTCCTGATGGTTAATATGATATAACCAAAGAAAATGGCGCCAAATGTACAGTGAAATGTGAACTCAGAGCTCATTCGGTAAAGCTCTCCAGCCCCTGGCAGCGTGGAGCCTTGTCTAATCCTGGTGGAGCCTTTCACAACTAAATACACCATCATGATGCTCCTCACAATCTGATGTCTGCAGACTCTCAGAGTACCTGGGAAATTGTAATTCCCAGGGCACCATTTTTGCACAAGATCACATCACACAAGCAGTTAAGAAAGCTTCCTTTGCGTTTCCAGTATCTTCCTCATGGTGTACCACAGATGTGTAGTGCAATAGTTTTGGAATAAAACTAGGGTGGGTGTAAAACTTATTATCCCTTTCTTAAAGTAATGTCTAAAATGCATCACGTTGATACATCTATTGTCCTAAAGCACTGAAGAATGAAGCAGTTAACTGAGTCAGCTGATCACCAAGCTCACTTGAAATATTACCAAGTGTCTGGAGAATGTGCTCATAGAAACCCGGGCCCAGATGGTCTTCGTAGAGAGCTTTCCCCTTTTTTCTTTTCTATGTACTTTCTAGGTGCTAATCCAGGTATACATACACACTCTTACTTCTCCTGGGAATATACCGTTCTTTTAGTCATTGTACATTATGTTTATTAAATAAAATGTGCATATCAGCCTCCCCCAAAAAACTGTCTTCTTTTGACTTCTTACCTGTGTATAAATTGTTGAATTTTTTTTTTTTAATATCTTATTGGTTAAAATCTTCTTATTTGGACTCTTGCCTTACAGTCTCTCTTAAGTCAGCATCAATATCATAGCCAGGGTTTCTGTTTTCTCAGCCAGAAAGTACTGATATTTTATGTACTATAAATGTTATTGGAACAGACGTTCTTATCAATAAAGTTTCCTAATCCATTCCTCTTCCAAATAGGTTGATTTTTGGTTCTTCATCTTAGGAAAATACACGGTATTAATATTCTCATGTTATAAAGGTTTCCCTTTTAAACCACAGTGGTCGTTATCATACTTAAAAATGAAAGACATTAAATTAATTTAAATGAAGAACAAGAGGGACTTCCCGGCTGGCGTGTCCTTTGCTCCCAATGTAGGGGACCCAGGTTCAATTCCTGGTCAGGGAACTAGGTCCCACATGCCAAAACTAAGAGTTTTCATGCTGCAACTAAATATCCTGCATGCCGCAAAGAAGATAGAAGATCCCACGTACTGTGCTGTGACTAAGATCTGGTGCAGCCAAATAAGTAAATGTTTTAAGAAAATATTTTTTAAAGACTTACAAAATTCTTTTATAAGTACTGTGTAAAGTTGGTGAGACAATAGATGTTAAATTTCTCACCAAAAAAAAAAAAAAGTCATATGTAAAATGATGAATGTGTTACTTAAGTATATTGTGGTAATCATTTCACAGTGTTTATGTTGTATAAAGTCAAAATGTTGTATAGCTTAAACTTACACAATGAGATATCAATTATATCGTATAAAGTTGGGCTTCCCAGTTGGTACAGTGGTATAGAATCCACCTACCAGTGCAAGAGATGAGTAAAACTTGTTATCCCTTTCTTCAATTAATGTCTAAAATGCATCACGTTGATACATCTATTGTCCTAAAGCACTGAAGAATGAAGCAGTTAACTGAGTCAGCTGATCACCAAGCTCACTTGAAATATTACCAAGTGTCTGGAGAATGTGCTCATAGAAACCCGGGCCCAGATGGTCTTCGTAGAGAGCTTTCCCCTTTTTTCTTTTCTATGTACTTTCTAGGTGCTAATCCAGGTATACATATACACTCTTAACTTCTCCTGGGAATATACCGTTCTTTTAGTCATTGTACATTATGTTTATTAAATAAAATGTGCATATCAGCCTCCCCCAAAAAACTGTCTTCTTTTGACTTCTTACCTGTGTATAAATTGTTGAATTTTTTTTTTTTAATATCTTATTGGTTAAAATCTTCTTATTTGGACTCTTGCCTTACAGTCTCTCTTAAGTCAGCATCAATATCATAGGCAGGGTTTCTGTTTTCTCAACCAGAAAGTACTGATATTTTATGTACTATAAATGTTATTGGAACAGACGTTCTTATCAATAAAGTTTCCTAATCCATTCCTCTTCCAAATAGGTTGATTTTTGGTTCTTCATCTTAGGAAAATACACGGTATTAATATTCTCATGTTATAAAGGTTTCCCTTTTAAACCACAGTGGTCGTTATCATACTTAAAAATGAAAGACATTAAATTAATTTAAATGAAGAACAAGAGGGACTTCCCGGCTGGCGTGTCCTTTGCTCCCAATGTAGGGGACCCAGGTTCAATTCCTGGTCAGGGAACTAGGTCCCACATGCCAAAACTAAGAGTTTGCATGCTGCAACTAAATATCCTGCATGCCGCAAAGAAGATAGAAGATCCCACGTACTGTGCTGTGACTAAGATCTGGTGCAGCCAAATAAGTAAATGTTTTAAGAAAATATTTTTTAAAGACTTACAAAATTCTTTTATAAGTACTGTGTAAAGTTGGTGAGACAATAGATGTTAAATTTCTCACCAAAAAAAAAAAAAAGTCGTATGTAAAATGATGAATGTGTTACTTAAGTATATTGTGGTAATCATTTCACAGTGTTTATGTTGTATAAAGTCAAAATGTTGTATAGCTTAAACTTACACAATGAGATATCAATTATATAGTATAAAGTTGGGCTTCCCAGTTGGTACAGTGGTATAGAATCCACCTACCAGTGCAAGAGATGTGGGTTCAATCCCTGGACTGAGAAGGTCCCCTGGAGAAGGAGATGGCAACCCACTGCAGTGTTCTTGTCTGGGGAGTCCCATGGACAGAGGAGCCTGGGCTGCAGAGAGTCAGATGGAACAGCACACACCAGAAAGCTGGCAGAAAGACAGAAGAAAGAAAGATCAATACAAACATGGGGAAAAAAGTTACTTCTTCAAATAAGGAACTGTAAAATTTTGAACATTTAAAAATGCGACAAAGGACATGAACAATTCACCATATAGACTTAAAAATGGAGAATGATTTGTCTGGGAATGTTCTTTGTTTTCCCTGAGGTGTACGTGGTTTCTTGTGACTAAGAAAGCATCAGATTTTCTTGGCATTTCACCTGCTTACACAGTTTTGAATATGAAGAGATGTGCTTTGAGAGATCAGAAACAGATCAATGGCATTCACCATTCTGCCAATTATATATAGAAGTTTGTTAATAAGTGATCGTAAATTTTTTTAAATGGACACCAGATGAAAAACACTCACCCTCATTAGTAACCAAAGAAATAGAAAAGAATTCAGTAACAATGTTTTTTCTTGTCACATTGGCAAAGGTGAACATTTTATAGCAAATATAGCACTTTATGAGTATATAGAGAAATGTGCCTCACTGATGAAAGCACAGATTATAGCATTTCCAGACAGCAAATCAGGGCTGTGTGTCAAGAGCCTTAAAAATCTTTGTACTTTGATGGCACAGTAACCCTATCTCTATAATTAGCGATGCTAAGAAAACAATGTGCTTGTGCTCAGCCGCTCAGTCTTGTCAGACTCTTTGTGACCATGTGAACTGTAGCCAACCAGGCTCCTCTGTCCATGGGACTTTTCAGGTGAGAAGACTGGAGTGAGTGGTCATTTCCTCCAGAGGATCTTCCCGACCCAGGGATTGAACCCGAGGCTCCTGTGTCTTCTGAATTGCAGGCAGATTCTTTTTTTAAAATTTACTTTTTTAAGTTGAAGGATAATTGCTTTACAGTATTGTGTTGGTTTCTGCCAAACATCAACATGAATCGGCCATAGGTATACTTATGTCCGCTTTCGCTTGAACCTCCCTCCCACTTCCCTCCCCATCCCACGTGTCTAAGGTTATTACAGAGTTCCAGTCTGAGTTCTGCAGGTGGATTCTTTACCCTCTGAGCCTTTGGGAAAGCCCCAGAAAATAATTTAAAAAAAAATAAAAACTTATATAAAAACATTAAGTACAGAAGTTTAAAAATTCAGTGTTTAAATTGTGTAGAGGGGGATGTTTCAATTAAAGAATAATTGTGCAGAAAGCTACCCTCACATAATATTAAGCCTATTTCCAAATCTGTTTTAAAATTCCAAGCAGTGCTAGAGAAAAAAAACAAGTCTCATCAGTAATTACCATTGGGTGTGGGGGTTATAGATGGTTTTAATTTTCCTTTTTGATATTTCCTTAGTCTTAACTTTATACAATAGCATGGTAGTTTTATCATCAGAAAACTAAAAAAAAAAAAAAATTCTCAGTATAAAAAGAAAAGCTTCAAACTACTGCATGACAGAATTGTATTAGCACACATTAGCTCTTTTTTTTTTTTTTCCCACACATTAGCTCTTAAAGTGGAGAAGGCAATGACACCCCACTCCAGTACTCTTGCCTGGAAAATCCCATGGATGGAGGAGCCTGGTAGGCTGCAGTCCATGGGGTCGCTAAGAGTCAGACACGACTGAGCGACTTCACTTACACTTTTCACTTTCATGCATTGGAGAAGGAAATGGCAACCCACTCCAGTGTTCTTGCCTGGAGAATCCCAGGGACGGGGGAGCCTGATGGGCTGCCGTCTATGGGGTCGCACAGAGTCGGACACGACTGAAGTGACTCAGCAGCAGCAGCTCTTAAAGGGAGAAGTTTGTTTTAAAAGTGACACATCTGTCTCTGAGCAGGGTTTCCCAGGCAACCTCTTGGTGGTTGCCAATACAGAATGCTACCTCTAGGGGTGGAATCAAGCCCTTGGCTGCTCTGCCCCGCTTTAAAAGAATAATGAGTTGTCCGCAGGGGTAGGTCTCTGGCTTAAATTTCCTCTACAGGAGTATGCACCTGTCAAATGGTTTCCCTGCCAGAAGAAAATTGCTTGCTCCCTTAGCAAAAAGTCAATGAAGCTGAAAGAAATCTAGTTTCTTGGATTGAGGTAGCAGCCAGAAGACCCGGTAAGCATTCTTAAATGTGGAGGCCTCTCTAAGCACTAGGAAGAGTCTGTTGTCAGAATTAACCTGAAATTTCAGTGGCATCAGCTCTGGGCAGTGGACAGGTGGGTTGCGGGAAGCATCTGGTCATTTTTCTCCTGATTTGGAAAGGGGGGGGTCATGGTCACTATTTAAAGTGGAAACTTTTTCCTCCCCAAAATAAGAGTGACTCATTCTGAAATGAGCCCTTTGTGGGTGTTTGGGTGAACTGATTAGTGAGGGGCTGGACAAGGTGGTCTGCAGAAGCATCTTTCTTTAACATGTACTAATTTTCTGCCCTAAATATATGTGGAGCCCAGACTACAAGTGAAGAATGGTGCTGGAGGGACTGTGAAAAGGTACATGGCCTGGACTTTGCCTTCAGCTTACCTACAATCCAGTAGAAAAAGGAAGCTCTAAAAATATGATAAGTTAAATAGCTCAAGACTTAGTTGACCATAAGATATAATGGAAGTGACAAGGCACCATATTGTTATTAAGGCTTAACTGCCCTGGGGAATAATCATGGTATCTCAAGTGTATTCAGCCCTTACGTACAAGGTCCCGTGCTAAGCAAGCATTTAAAATGTGCTACCTCTTGAATGTCTCTAATAAACCTATCTAATCATTTTCTTTCTTTCTTTTTGGCTGTGCTGAATCTTCATTGCTGCGGGGGCTTCTCTTGTGGAGCGCGGGCTGTACTGCGCACGG